TTATATAGGAAAACTCATGAAATCCATAAGAGAGAAAGATTACTTTTACTGTAAATAAAAAATCCCCACTATTATTGGAAAACAAAGATATGTTGTATATCGAGATCTGACTCAACAGTGCACATTAACGATCCCAGTGGAGAGACTCGAACATAAAACTTGTGAACACTTAAAATCTAGACCACTAAGCCGGTAAACATCCAACAGTGTTAATGTCCAACTTCAACTAATCCACGATATTGCGAGACCATCTTCCAGGTTTCGCAATAGTTAGGGGTTGAGTTAATGTAGGACATTAAGGAAGATTTTATTTGTACAGTTCAATCGCTGAGATTTCTACAAATATAATCTCCTTCTTTAGAAATGATAATGTTAAAAGTTACGAATGCTTAATCGTTTCTCTGGACATTGTATGTAACAGGCAAATAAACGCTATCCCTAAATTGTAATCCTGAAGCAAATTTTACAATAGCGGCAATATATTTCATGGAAAATATACTAAGACAACGCCGATTGCATTTTTAGGTGAAACTCAATCACCCTTATAGCTAAAAACTATCTTACAATAGAGCTCATGTTAATCAGGGGAGTCCACGACGCTCGTTTCGTCGTACTTGAGACTCGTCAGTTAGATGTGCTTACATCCGAGTTGATGTTGAGTCCGAAATTCGAACCCGGTACGTTTCGTTCTAAATGTCATCATGTTATCCACTTAGCTACTGAGTCCAGATAACCACTTTAAACCCTTCATCCTAGTCCTAAATACCTAACACTAACTAGGAATAATATGGGATCTCGTGAAAACCTATTTGGGTCCTTTTATGAGTTCGTGATGGACAACTTATCATTTCCATTAGAATGATAAATACAGGTTTGTATGACTTTTTTCGACTTATAGGCAGATTAACCTATAAGAGACATTGAGAGATGTATGAATCCCAGAAAAGCTCTTCATATTTTGAAACAGTATTGTTTTCTTTTCCATAAACTGTGTTTAAATATGCCATTTTTCGACTAATTAGAAATTCACTGCAGTTGTTTTATGCTCATCCCTATATTATCATCTTATCACAGTTTAAACTTACTCATATAAATGATATAAACTCGTTTTGGTTATCTACAACAACATGGTTAGAATTAACTTTATTCTTAACCGCATATTATTAAATGAAATTCAAAATAATAATTATCTAGGCAAACTGCTCTGTAGGCAGTATTCGTCATGAACTGACAGCTGAAGCACCACTAAAAACACTGCACTTCTAAATACTATGGATATAAATATAATTGTTCAGCTTCAAGAATAAAATCACGAATTTCGGCATGAAATTGAAAGTGCAGTGAATGATAGCCTTCTTATTATTATGGAAACTGACAATATTTCGCTTTTAAAATGCTTGAAGGTAATAAAAATATCTAATATAAGATGGTACTTAGACTAAATATCAAGAAATACCTGCTTTTGATACTGATTGTATGTTAAGACATTTGATGTGATTCAATGAATACATACTCAAGGCTGTTTGCGTAGCTAGACAATATCCTAAAACTCTAGCTCTTAACTCGAAATCTCAACTAAGCGTGTAAACGAAGGATTGTCGATGTATCGTTGTATTACATTTGATGTCAGTTTACGATGAAAACCCTAACCCTGATTCATAACTTTAGTTTAACACTTAATACTTATTCCTAACCTTCTTGAACCACAGCCGTTATCATTTGGGTGACAGAAAACCTTACAGGGTCACAAACCTGAATAACAAAACTAGTTCAACTCCTAATATGTAAACTCAATGTTCTTCTTTAACTGTAAAGCATATTTCAACATTTATGAGCCAATTAATCACATTAAAACTATTATTATATTGTGATTTTATTGCTTTTTATGGTCAGCTATTTTATACTAAAACCTTTTACCATGATTGTTAAACAAGTCTCTCAAGGTCGTCAGTATCGTTTACTTTTACCAAAATTGAAATCAACAAAAGTAGATAAATATTGTAATTTCATATTACTGTATGCACTATGAAACAAGGGCTTCATAAAAGCTGTGAGAACGATCATTCAAGTGTGCCATAATAATAAAAATAATAATGACTAATCATTCCTACTAGAAGCCGTTGTTCGAAAATATTAATGAATGAACATGGCTTTATGATGAATGTTAGTACTGTTAACCATGAATGTGAACTACTCTTTGCGATCATCAACGTAGATAAATAAATGGTCTAATTATCATAACTTGGTGATATCTGACATGATTGTTGATCATATTCAATCAAGGAAAAACGCTGACCATGAGCGACATTGTAAGACAGTATCAATTGCTGGAAAACACCAAACGAATAAGTGATACTAAATATATTCATTGAGGTTTGGATTATTCTGGAAGATAAGTACTTCAAATATTCTCAGATTTGCTGACGTCCATGACATGAATTCGATTGTAATGCAAGTAAACTATAAAAGGCCAAAGTGGTTGGAGTATGTGTAATGTATGCTCAGGGATCATCTACGTGCAACTATGAATTAGTTAGAGGGCTAGGTGGTGCCAAACCATAAAGTAGTATCGATCAAAATGTGATTGAATGGTGAACTTAGTTGTTTCAGTAAGCACAATCTTGTTGATCATCGTATGTACCATAAATGTATCCTAAGGTTGGGAAGTTTGTGACATGGTTTGAAATCAAATGTAGTAGCCCGAATTATTTCTCTGGAATTAACAAGTTTGCACCTAATAATTCACATTTCCAGCTTTAATCAATTCATGATATGATTATGAGACTATAGCTGAGTTTCATCGGTTATACACTTGCCTCATACTTGATATGGTTGGATTACACTAATCATACCTTTCCACCTACTAGAACTTCCAATATCCATCTCAAAATTAGCTACCCGTAAGTATATAATTTTTATTAATAAGTGTAAATTAAGTTTGAACATAATAAAGAACTAATTAATTTATTTGAACACATAAATATTGATACAAGAGGGCACCAAATATATATGCGCCACACAAAAACAATGAGAATTTGAAGCGAAGAAGGAGAAAAAAGGTAAGGAGCGTAAAAAAGAACAATAACGAACATATTAGTGCAAAGTAGTGTAATAATAATAATGGGAGAAACAGAAACGTACAATCAGAAAGAGATCTTTCAGTTAAGGAAGAAGCAACCACTTTTTATGAAGAAAGTAAAAGAAGGTTACAGCAGGATCGCCACTGTCTCCTATTCCGAGCCATATCTGATAACGTCTCTAGCCACTGTGTCGCACCATCTCTCGGACCCCAACCGGGGAGTCGTGAAGGACCAACAGAAGTCAGTCCTGTGCAGCTTTCATACGACGACACCATGTCATACACTGACCACCTATCCGTTTTTTCCAACCAGTCCCAGTGTCCGCAAATAATGAAGGACGTGAAATTCTCTAGGACGACATTTGTAGAACATATCCAAGCCACCGAAGTCGATGTTTCAAGATGTTGACACCAATTGGATTATGATAAGATGAAGGAATAGGAGACACATATTGTGATTTTCGTTCAACATTACTATTGTTTTTAATTCAATATGATTACTCATTATAATATATACTTTATACTTTATTCAAGATACAATATTCTTGTATTCAATTAAAGTGAATTAATGTTTAGCATAATATGCGACATACGATTTCGTTATCATTTCATAAATGGAATTCTTTTTTTTCTAAACAAAAATCCAGTGGGTATACAAATCAACATAGAAGTGAGTGTATCTTTGATTATAGGTCAGATTGATGAGAAAAACACCAATTTGTGAATATGGAGATCAAAAGATTATGAATCAGTTTGAGAAACATTATAAGAAGTGATATTTTGTTGCAATAGATTTTAAGGTTAGAATTGGGATAGAATTAACTTTAGGAATAGTGATTAGGTAATATATAAGTTAACACTAAACGTTAACGGTTGGGAACCCACAACTAAAATGGGTATAATGAATTATTCATGCAAAAGCAATATTTGATAAAAGTATGTTATACTTAAATCCTTGAGAGAGCAATCAAAATTAAGGTGGCCAATGTTGAACATTAGAGCGAATTTAAAACGTTATCATGGATAGATTTATGTTGGATACCATGTTTCTCACTAGGTTCCCAATTTTTAATGGAATGGATGAGGACTATTTTGTTCAGAGAAGTTAGGTTAAAAGAGTTAGAATTAGGAGTTAAAGTTTAGAAGCCATCAAGATTTTCAGCCTAATTTGCCGATGATATCCCTTAACAAATAATGACATTAAAGTCCTAAAATTTTCGTAAATCTTCCAGTTTTCTTTCACAAAAACTGCATCCTGATTGGCTATCTGATCAGGCTCAAGGTTATCTAACATCTCTTAAGACCGTCATTTTAGTACACTCGCACTCAACGATGCCCTCGTAAATAATTGTGTTTCGTACAGTGTTTCATTCATCCACATTTGCTCATTCCTGATTGGTTAAACGTTTTCAAGGCCAGTTTGACAGTCGCTAAAGTTGAACATAACAATTCAACTTTAAAGCATATGAGACTTATGAATGTTAATCAATTTAAGGGAGGTCTATGCGTCATTATCGATCCATGCATTCATAGTTTAACAAGAAAGATAACAAATTAATTTTGGTGGAGTTTTGTTCTCTGAGCTGGATGAGAAACACGACCAAACCATCCAGCTCAGAGAACAAAACTCCACCAAAATCATCCACCTGAGCTACAAATCTTCTCCACCATCTCGATAACAAATTAAGTTTTCTTTTTTATGGAATGATGTCAATTTTCATTAAATTATATTTATACAGTTAAAGCACAAAAAAATGGAGATTTGTAGCTCAGATGGATGATTTTGATGGATGGTTTAATCGTGGAGCTTTCATCGTTCTTCTGAACGACATCGTCAGCACGTACTTTAAGTAGATAATGAAATCGTTCAGAATAACGATGAATGCTCCTAGACTAAACCATTCAGCTCAGAAAACAAAACTCCATTAAAAAAAAGTATAATTTAAACACATTTTAAAATAATTATCACAACACCATAAGTACTTTTCTTTTTAACTATTCAACAAGATATTGAATGAACTCAACAAAGAAATATAAACTGTGAAAGACTATGGAAGCATTGAATTAAAGCATTTATTTGAAATAAGTAACATTACAAATGAAAGAGTATGATTAATAACTGGGATTTATTGTGATTTTTTGTATTGTAATAAAGATGGTAAACGATTTTGAATAAGTTGTAGAATATCGACTTCTTCGTAATAAATTATTATTAATGTGATGAATAAGAATCCGAATGTAATTGTACCATGTAATATCATCCATAGAATGCCAAAAGAACAACACAAAAAGTACTAGAAAGAATTAAAGCAGTAAAAAAAACAAAACAAGAAAATTAAATGAAAATTGGCAGAGTATAACAGAAGACAGAGATTTCATTGAAATCATGAATCGATCAATATCAGACCATCATTGAAAACCTGAAAGCACTGGACGACCATTTCTTCATAGTATCGTATTTCAAACAGTGCACAAACAGGACTCAGTAGATGGGAATTGAACCCGGGACCTTCGACCTCGTGAGAACGCCTATCATCTAGGCCACTTACGCGGTATTTAACGGTGTTAATGTTTAACTGAAGTGCTCTCATGTCTTTAACGGTGGTCTAGCATTGATCAGTTTATGACTTCAGCGAAACTCAAAAATCTTCACGATCTTATTCATACAAATAGACTACCATAGGCTACCATGGGACTGCATCTCATTACGTTGCTCCACTGCTTTGTGGATTAGACCTTTAGGTCAAAGTCTCGGGATGTAGAGTCTCCTAAGAAAACCACCTGCTTCGGTTTGAGCATCCCGGTATTACCCTATCCCTTACACAAATCGAATGATTAGTGTGGAGCATATGTATTTGGTGCCTTTTTGTACCAATGTTTATGTGTTTAAATAAAATAATAGAAATCAGAGTAGGTTGGAAGAAAGCTATGGGTAGCCAAACCAAGACGTGATATCATTCCATCAAGTCACTAACTGTCGAAGTTAGCCATGTCGGTAGATTCAGACTACCTGGTTGGAATCGGCACCATAACCGTGACCAATGATTGGACACATTGGGTGAAATCCCTCGAAATCGGTCATAATGGTGTAAACGCGTTCACTAATTGTTTACCGTGGATCCTGTATTTCACGATCATAATATATTTTTATTGTAAAAATTTATTCCACTTGAATTACATTCTGTTTAATCTTTTCTTACTATTACTAATACTACTTATGTAGCTTTGGTTTTCATCTTGGTAGTTTTACAGATTAATCTGAGTTGAAATATCAAAGAAAACCAAGGAGTAATAGACAGAAGTCATGACTAAAAAAGTCCAAATATATTTAGAGTGAAAAAATTGCTATTCGATATTCTTCACAATGTATCAAAAAACTGATTAGAGTTAGAATTGTACAACTGAACACCAACTCAATGGTTGTAATGGCTAGGCTTTCTTCATGATACACAACAAATCTGAGTTCGATCCCTGATGGGGGAGACATGTAGGCAGTACATAGGAGTCCCATACTGGGAAGAAACAATTGTTCAGTTCTTATTTCTCAATGATATCTCGATTGAGATCAATCTGTGACGAATACAACCTGAAAATTACTATGACCTTTTTTAAACATAAAAACCAATAAACAAATGTACAATAATACCAATAGAGGTAAAAGAAAGAAAAAAAAGAAACACAAACAACTATAATCTTACTTGTGAAATTAAAGTACATACAAGTGAAATGGATAGAATGCACATTTCACTGTATGATGGAAACATTAATGATAATAATGAAATATTTGAGAATTTTTCCATTTCACAGTTTGATAACACAACGAAAGTCGATGATTTTTCACTACTACTGCAGCTGCTATCATTATCATCATCATCCAAGTTGTTTTGTTTTTCAATATTCGTTGGTTCATCAATTTTTGCCAAAAATTTGTTAATATAATAAACACTGTCAAAGGAATAATCATCAAATAAGAAACAGAATCAATATTAGTAGCGAAACATAGGGGTATATATATATATATAACTTTTTCACCAGATACTTGGGTATGAACCACCGTTGAAGTGTAAAAGGAAATGATGCTATTCGGCCGCCTAAACCGAAGTAGATGGATCGAGGTCCGAACTTACAACTTATTGGCTAGAAGTTGAACGCCTTAACCACTAAGCTACCAGTCTAGCACATCGACTATATATATATATATATATATATCGATTCAAATGGTTTTAGTTCACCTCATCAAAAACGATGGTCTACGCAAGATACTCAATGTCCGTCGGTCGGATATCATCAGCAAAGACGCATTGAGGCAAAAAACAAACCAACTTCCAGCTAAAGGGAAAATTAGGAAAAGACGCTGGATGTGGATAGGACGAACATCGCAGAAACCACTAAACTGCAACATGAGGAATGCCCTAACTCGGAATCCCGGAAGGAAAAGGAAAAGAGGAAAATCAAGGAACACATTGCGTCGGGAGGCAGACATCAAATGAATGAATAGCAATTAGAAACAACTGGAAACGATTACTCAGGATAGAGTTCGGTGAAGAATCCTGATCGGCGACCTATGCTCCTCCACGAGGAGTAACAGGTGTATTGGAAAACTTTTTAACCTAATAATATTGAACTCTTGGATAGTGTAATCACTTACGGTATGGATTATTCAACTTGCATACCAATAATATATGTTTATGTACTCTGCTTTGAATTGCAGCATTAGTATGTGAAAATCGATTATATCAACTAGTTGCCTATGATTCATCAAGGACTGAATTCATACCCTTGAAGATTGCCAGTTAGTGCATTACCATTAGATCAGTGACTTGATATTCAGTAGTCCATAATTCCATGTTCAGGTAATTGTAGACAATGTGTGACCAGCATCTAACATGTTTTGTGACGATTATCTCATATCCCGTAAACCTCTATAAATATTTAGCGGGTGAAAAACTTCACTTTATCTGCTTCTAGTTTTGATTTCCAGATTGTGTTGATTGTTGATTTATATGTATTATTTTCCTTATTAAATGTAGGTGCATTTTGTGAGCTTGCTAGGTCGTCGGCTCACTTTTTCTTTTGTACTTCTGTCTTACAGCTCTCATCACTCAAACTACTCTGTATGCTCCCTTGACACATAAATTACCTTCTGGCTAGATACGAGTTGCTTCAAATTGTTTGAACACATAAATATTGGTACAAGAAGGCACCAAATACATATGCTCCACATTATTCATTCGATTTGTGTAAGGGATAGGGTAATACCGGGATGCTTAAACCGAAGCAGGTGGTTTTCTTAGGAGACTCTACACCCCGAGACTTTGACCTAAACGTCTAATCCACAAAGCAGTGGAGCAACGTAATGAGATGCAGTCCCATGGTAGCCGGTGACCAACAACAGGTTCATACTCTATTTAATTCCTTAAGATCCTGGAGCTCATGTGAACCATTCGTTTGGAATCAGGGTTTTCCCACTCCCTTAAGTGGATTCTCCGTATCCACAACCAACCTGGTTATAGCACCGGACATTCTCTTTCCGTACTCTCAATTTTGTAAACAACACCCGCCACGAGAAGGCAGTGAGTAGGACTTCCGTGAGAGTGGCTGTATACGCCTGGTCATGTGAGAACAGGGACTAAAAATAATTTAATAACAAACACTTTACAAACACACAACATTCATTTTCTTACCTATATAAAATACGAGTAATCATGTTAATACAATTGGCCAGTACAAAACCGTATACATTGAATATTGGGACAAGAAACCAATTTGCGCTGAGAAATATTATGGAAAATATTATTAAACGTTGATTGTGACGTAAAACTTCATCCTGTGAAATAAAAAAGAAGTGGTAGTTATTAAATAAAGTGATAAACCTTCTTACCGATACGCTTAAACTGTCTTCTTAGCAGGTTTCTATAACCTCATCTACTTGTACATGTCAACTGGGACACTAGAATCAAGCTGCGAACTACAAATCAAAGCTTTACTTCAAACTTAGCTTATGCACAAAACAACGAGGGTATTTATAGAGTTGCACACGACCTTGTGTCTCTGGAACCATACTAAATATAGTAGCGGTATATGGGAATATTCAATCCAAATCGTGGTACGCAATTATGTATTTTCTAGATGTTTTTGTGATGAGTATTCAACGCTGATTAGATAAGACGTTCCATGGAGTTTCTGTGACTCTAAAGACTTTGACGAGGAAAATTTTGAAACTCTCCGAACATCGAATAAGTTGAGATAGATAAAACAAAAAAGGGACTTGGTTAGTAGTAGCGGTTGCCCAATAGTGGTTAATGACTTCCTTAAACGACAATAGGTTTGGGATTTAGTCTCCTATATTCGCTTCTTTCAACCTAATCTTATGTCAGCTAACATTGTGCGTCGGTGGTGATTGGGTAACTATAAGTCATGGATACACAGTAACCATTACCTATCGAGCTTGAAATTCAGTAGTCCGAAGAGAAAGTCATGTCAGTGATTTGAGCTAAACATTTTGTTAACAGAACGAAGTGAACTGTATTAATACGTTTCTTTTCTCAAATAAGAACGATATACATCTATAATAAAACATACGAAACTTACTGTTGACATTGCGGAATTCAACAGCGCTTCAGTCGAACCATTCCATGCAAGTAACAAAACATAAGCAGAATATAATTGTAATAAATTGACCGCTACATAATTATCAGCTAATCTATGCCCAGCGTAAATCATTAATAATAAACGAGAATTAGCTTGAGCAAAGGTTACACCAATCCAAGCTATAAGACTTGAAATACGTAAAGCTGTTTTAAGCATACGAAATGCATCCGTAAGTAATTTCTGCAAATTAGAGAGAACAAGACGGATCAATTAAAATTTATAGTTATGTATAAGTCTGACCAACAAGTAGATTCGAGTTACAGCTCTATCAACTTTGGTTCGAGCAAATTAGGTTAATAAGCCCTACTCATCAGTTTAGAAACTTGGTTTAAAATACATCACCCAAAACTTGTACATACAGAGATGTGGTACATTAGTAAATGAGATGATCATAGATATCACAAACGTTATGTTTTATTCTTAATCTTAAAAATAGTATAACGCAATATTGAATAAAAATAATATGTATCACGGAAATTATCATACTGCTCAGATTATGAAAACCCTTTTCGGTTACCATACCAAGTAACTTGAAAAGACATAAATACAATTGATTGATCTCTGAGTGGTGGTTAGAGTGATGTTTCTTTAGTCCTCCTTCAGGGTGGATTAAATCCTTTCGGCAAAGTTCCAATATAGTCATTAGTGTAAATGACTCGACACCGAGTGCACTAAGTTAGAATGTTCAGTGTTTGGATGTAGTCGGCAAGAAATACTACTTAATCTAGCATTTTGGTATGATAGCCGATATGATCAAAACATTAACGCTAAGCTCCTAATCCTAATTTATGAGGCTAATTCATACCCCCTATTTGGAATTCTATAATTCGTTGACGTTTTCAAGGTTAATTTAGTATCGCTCAAAGGTCATCCATAAATAAAAGTTGTGAGACTTACCCCCAACCAACTGATTAAAAACCCGATAGTCTACAAATTTTCTAAACTCATATAGGTCACGACACAAATCATCTCCAAGATTTAAAATTATCTCTACATGTTGCATTTTTCTACCGTCTCGTATCCCTTAACTAGAAAAAAACAATTTCTATTTCAACAAAACCGAACAACAAAAACACAGAAGTAAACGTATTCGAGTATCTTCCAGTATGTTATCCATTTACCTACTAGTAATGATTAGTAGGAAATGTACGAATCGCCATATTTGAAGTTCAGCCTGAACTGAATAAGCAATGGCTAGGACTCTATCCGGTCAACATCAAAACATTGACACAAAGTAAACCCTGTTATTAGCAAGAATTCAATCGCTGAAAAAATTCTATCATATCAACAACAAAAAAAGAGGTAGATGAACGAAGAATATTCTTTTTAATAAATTCACTTTTAATTATTCTTCTATCAACCTTGACTGTTTTTATATTGGCGTATGTGTGTGTATTTCTTATCCTGATCATCACATGCCTGTAACTTATTTTTGGTCTGACTATAAATATCGATTCACGATTGGTTAAACCGAGTTGGCTCAATCACCTTCTTCACTGCGTGTCACTTTGTTTTGCATCGCTTTCCAGTCAACGATTGTATGAAATGCACGTATTCGAAATCCATTCTCGTATTTGACTTATTTAATTCCGTTATACACTAGGCGCAATTTAAGTCAATGATTGTATATTTCAATAACAATCATCCATACGATTTAAGTGAAGTCAGATATAGGGCTATTAAAATCCATACCTTTTACCTTGGTCAACGTCTGACCTAACTTAGTTGATAACCATTTTTATGACATGGTGAAGCAGTCTGATCAATGTTCATTTTTACAGCTTAAACTCATCTTATTCACACATATAATAATAATAATAATAATAATTATTATTATTATTAGTAGTAGTAGTATTAGTATTAGTATTAGTATTAGTATTAGTATTAGTATTATTACCATTATTGTCATCATTGTTGTAACACTTGGAAACACTTTGAGAAATTTATTTAGCATTCATCCCTATTTACCTATTCGTATCCAATTCATATTATTCTACATAGTAAGAATTCAATTAAACATCACAAAATATACACAGTATGAATGAGAACTTACTTTGTCTTGTTTACTTGGAGAGACATCTCTTTGAATACATTGACTAAACATAAAATGACAACTTTCTTCCAATGGTAAGAAAAGTAGACGAGCCGCTAAAGAGCCCAAATTATTGACGAGATCATATATACCTAGAGAGAAGAAAATAGACATAGTTTAGGGGAAGTAATGCAGCCCAAATCATCATTACTGAAAATTTAGGGCCTTTGCTTCACTGGGCTCGAGTCCCGGGTTGAGCATTAACACTGGGATGCAGGTACATCCAGCTGATGAATCTCAAATACGATTAAATGAGTGTCGAAGATTCCACTGCTAGCCACCATCCATCTCAGCTTAGAAGGAAGATAGATGTTTATCATCTACTCTTATAGCATCATTTGATTTTGTTTCCGCAGCCATTTAGTTACATGTTCAGACACCCTAATTCACAAATCATGATTACTCCTCCCTATGTATGTATGGCCACACAAGGATATAAAATTCATAAATACAGTGGGATATGACGCCCATGTTGATATCTCACATGGAATCGCCTCGAGCAAAAATGACCCATTATGATGCTGATCGTAATACTGTTTAAACTTGTGTTCATTTAAGTCTGTTATTGATCTGCACCGAAGAAGTGTCTTATACTACGCCCCAAAACGTTATAAATTTTAATTCTTACTCATTAGATTAAACAGAATAGGAGTATTGAGTCCTACTGATCAAAAGTTAAATTGTCTAATTATTGGACACTAATGGTTCAATAAAATTTGTGCGAACCATCGATAAAATAATTCAAAAATAAACGACACATATATGTTTCCTATACAAATTAAAATTACTACTTACCCTGATCAGTGAAACTTATCAAATGGAACGCACTGATTAAATATCTTTCACCTGAATAGACCAACAAAAGAAGTTGAAATCAACGTGAGTTTAGCACCAAGGAAAGTTGGATTTTTATTTTGCCTAATCAAAATAATTAATTAGCTTATTTGGTGAAAATATTTTTATAAATACAAAGTTAGAACGAAAGTAAAACAGTTCAGCAATTATTAAACTGATCCAGAGGTAATGAATTTTCAAATCAACAAGACAAGAATTTAATTTCAATGCTGAAACTTGATGACCCATATTAACTGTTCATACGTTAAACATTCACTTACTATTTACAATTGACTGATCACTAGGTATGTTAGGTCCTTCTTCATGACGTACGATATTTTTTATTGTGATGCTTAGTTGTGCTAATCATCTGTAAAAACAGAAGTGGACCAAGTGGGTTCAAATACGTGTGACTTATTGGTCGGAGGGTGAAACTCGAGTATTTTAATAACTAAAATACCACTCTACCAACAAGTTGAGATTTGGATTGATCGATGTTAAACATTGATATCGTTGAATACCGGCTCAGTGATTTAGAGCTTAAGCGTTTGTAGAAATCGATTCGCTTGCGTGGACTCTTGGATGCACAATGACGAGGAGTCCCATATTAAGAAGAAACGGTCGTCTAGTGTTCCCAGATTTATATGGTGTTCTAACTCAGATTAATTCATGAATTCAACGAGAATTAGCAATCTTTAAAACCCCATACTGACAAAGTTGAGACTTGATCTAAAAAACAGACAAATATATCCAATTCTTATTTTGTATTTATAATAACTAAGTAGTGTATAGACTGTTACATGCATCTGTACATAGGTGATTTATGTTAGCTTTATGAATGCTAATAACCTCAAAATAATCTGGTACAGATGAGGGTGGAAAGAGTTCTTTTTCCACCTCGAAATGCCCCATGTGAACGGAGATTTATAGTTCCTATCACAGAGGTTCTGCTCTATTCACTATCTTCACGTAGCAATCGGTGCTTTTGATGAAAGTTAGGGGATGAAGAGTGGATGTCAGGAGCTTAAACTAGGTTAGTGGGTACGGATAGTTTAAGTAGGGGAGTTGAAAAAACCTGACTACAAACCAGTGGGGTACATACATATTTTGATCACTGCTACCACGGGACTGCATCCTCTGACGTCACTCTAGTGTCTTGTGAATCAAACCTCCAGATAAGAGGATCGGGGAGTAGTCCCTTCAAGTAAAATGCCTCATTTGGTTCGGGCAACTGAGTAGTACCACAGTCAACTAACAAATATGTTGCCACCTCGAAAGAAACTGTCTGAGGAATTTTAAATAATATCAACGTTAACACTTCTTACTTCATATTAAACATACAAAATATTTGCATACCTTCTGTTAAAAGTTGTTTCAGTATACACTGACCAAAAAAGTTCTTTACAAGTTGTAGGCCTTGTCGATCGATAGAATACTTTCATGGTGTAAAAAATCAAAAGAAATGTAATTAGTTACATTTTGTAGGTAACTAATATTAACATAGATAGTTTTGAATCGAAGAGAAACGATAGTGACTTCCTTCTAATTCCAAAATTAGTCTAGAAATAGATTCAGGTACTGTTAAGTACTACTATGACAGCCTAATTCTCTATAACTAAGAAAATTAGTCTTTAGACTCGAATTTATTATAGTAACTCATAATCAACGTAGAGCCCGGCACAGATTTGTGTTGACCCAAGTTGACATAAGAAATTAGCACTAAGAGATAAACTTAAAGAAACAAACAGCGAACGAATAGAAAATGCAGCAGCTAAGATAGATAAGAAAGATTGAACACAGAGTTTAGCTCAAAAAGAGAATATTGGAAGTAGCGATCTAGGAGAATATAAAATGTGAATAGATTTGTGACATTGTGGGTAATTTTAACTAATTTTGTCTAGCGTCTCCAACCATTGATATAGGATGTCGCGTTAGCCCGGACCAGACAAACTTATTATAGGCAACTTTGATTATCAGTTTTAGCAATACAATGCATTTAACGTTTGCTATGATAACCGGGCAAATGGAAATTACTAAATAGAACCGATGGGTTGAATCGTTTTGGGATTAAATTAGAATTGGAAGTTTTGTTGACCAGGAAGTAACACCATAGAACAAATTAAACAGTTGCAAGGGCCCGGTTTCGTATAGCGGCTTATAAGTAAGATTTGCTGTATTAGCTTTGAGGAGCAAACGATGGGCTATTTTAAGGGTCGATTTTTTCTAGACCATTCCTCAGTTTGCGAGAAGGAAATATAACTGGTGCAATGTTGGGTTTTCCGTTAGAAAAGCATGACTATCATTACAAACCTGGTACAGTCAGCAGTTAAATGATTTTGACCAGGTTTAAAAGTGGAAAAAAGCTACATATCAGTGGTGTTGTATAACTACTTCTAATATAATGGTGTAATAATCTTAACTGAATCAGTCAGCCCATGAAACTATCAGCCAAGAGGAGGCCCTGTGGTGAACACATTGCAAATCCATCAGTTTAATATTCAATCTGTAAAATAAGGTATTTAAACCAATAATTAAGAAGTTTCATTTATATGAGACATATATATGGATGACACTTATTATTTGCGAAGAAAATCTGGATCTCAATGAAATCTTGGATAAATTCAATTATTGTCATTACTCAATTAGATTACCATTAAAGCAGAGACGAACGAGAAATTTCATTTTCTTGATTTTCTGTTAAAAAGAACGCTCGGTGATTTCTTACGAAGATCTAAACATAGAAAGCAACCCTGAAGTAGTCAGTACACGAATTCCATAGCAGAGTTCCACTGAATAAGAAGAGAAACCTAATTCACCCTTTACTCTCGAGAACTAGGCGAATATGCTCTCATGACACAATAGATGACGCGTTTCAGAGCACTACTCGTTGTGGCTTTTAAAGCAAAAATACAGAACGATCACTAGCTCAACACAGAAGCACTTCAACTCTGCGCACGTTACTCCAAAGAAACTGTCCTTCAAAACAATCTACACGATAAAAAGAACTGGATCGAAGGGAGGCCAAATCTAAAACTTATGGACTACTGAGGAGTTTGCAATTCACCAATTGAAACCAGAACTCTGAATGCAAAAGCAATACGTCTAACCCTTCATCGTCCCTTGATCCTAATTCTCTTCTCCAGTATCTTTTGGTTATGTTTTTTTCTTTAAATTAGTGTTTTGTAATTTTAAACCGTAATCAGTTATTTTCATCCAATAACAATTTTTCATGATTATTATTTAGTTATTATTATGACCCTTATGTCTTTTCATTTTGTCTTCATCTCTGTCACATGGACAATTATCACACAATTCTAACCGTAAGTTATGTTCATCCTCCTACTCTTCTCTGACCTCTCGATCATTACGCAACCTCATTTTGATATTTTAAATTTCGGATCTATTTACAATGTGATGTCTTCCTATCCACCGATGGACTCAAATATACGTCAAGTAACTGTCAATACGAGTGTATAGCTTAAGTAAATGATTTTGTCGACAAGAAAGTTCTTTCACTGAGTTTTCTTCATTTGCCTAAATAATATAAACGCAGAAATATGAACTAACCTGAAAATAACTTGGTAAAATATCTTTTAACGAAGCGATTCCTGTGATTCCTTTAAGTTTCAATTCGTTATTTGATGTTGAACGTGGTATACCATATTGAAAATACAATAAGTAACTTATGAACAATGTTGAACCATGAAGAAGCTAAAAAAATCAAAACCGAAAATGATGGATTGAAAAGACACTAGAACATCCTTGTCTACGGTTCATATATAAGTACACATTTTTACTACATTAAACGGGACTCCTGGGTGTTGCACATCCACAATGCTCGTCACGAGACCCGAAGGTCCCGAATTTGTTCCCTGTAGTCGCGGATGTGTACTATCGAGGACCCCCCATATACTACAGCGAAACAGCAATCAAATCTTTTCTGGTTTGTAATGTTTGTCTAAGATCAACCCATGATGCAAGCTAAAAAGTCCAACGATATTTACAAACTTTAATACTAATACTAGCTACAATTATCTTCGAAATAAGAATACAGTACACAAATATACACCCAGATAGAGGTAAATATTATGATCATATATAGTATGTTGCATAAGCGAATGAACTGAGGTTATAAACACGTTATTTTACAAAGTTTAAAGTACATCAGTCAAAATACTATCCATGTTATGAAACAATATAATTAGTCCATTTCCTTTTTTATGCTTAGAAACATTCATAGTGAACAAGGAAAATGACCTAACATGACAATCGAATTACTGGCCAGAAATTCACAAAATGTCCCTGCCGAATGTAGAGGTTAGCTAACATACCGAAACATACATGAATATTTAAATGCTTGAAAGTTTTTATAAACAAAATACAGTTTATTGTTTGTCCTATAATGCGATTGATTGTTTAGTAAATTTTGTAACCGACAATTGTAATAGTTCAGTTCGTATATCAATTTCAGCGACCATGTAACTGAAACCATAATGATACTCTTGACTAAAATAAATGATGTTCTGATGGTCGCATGAATGTCTAAATGTAAAAACGAAAAATTGTACCTATACTGTGGTGCATGCTACTTATGCTGACAGATGTAAGTAGTGTGTAGAAGTAATTGATTTACCCCACCTGAGTTCTCATTTACTACAACATAAACAAATAATATGATAACTGTTAATACATAAAACTTACTTGAGGTATACTAAGTGAATAAATGGCATACTGGGATGGTACAGTAAATATTGCAAATAGTATTCCAATTGAACGAGCAGTATTAGCAAAAGCTTCAATGAAAATTCTTGCACGAACTTCATGAGATAATTGACAAATAAGCCATAATGGTTCAGTAGCTAATTCAAAAAGACCAGATAAAGCGTATATCATGATACAGAGGATGTAACGTTGTTCAATAATTGACGATGTTAAATTTAATTCAGAATTTGATTCATTAATTAGATTACTTGGAGATGGTAAGATGTAAATCCACACAAAACTCAATAGTATTACAATGATGAAACCAATTGGAAGTCTAAAATTTTGAAATTATTTATTAAAATATAATTAAACTTACACTAGCCAAGCAAGATTGAAAATTCCATACAATTGTTCTTTATATTGTAAACTACACTGAATTGAAGTATGACCATCTTGATTAATTTCATGCTTACAACTTTTAATCAACTGAGAAACATCAACAAAATCTTCATTTGTAGAATCAATTATTGTAGTAACATTTGCATTTGATAATGATTCAGTTGATTTTCTATTATTATTATTATTATTATTATTATTATTATTATTATTATTATTATTATCGTTACTATTGACTACTTGACCACCACGACTAAGACATGCACGACGAAATGCTTCTCTTGAAGTAAATATCAATGTTGAATAAAATAAACCAAGTCGAACATTGACTAAGCCTAAACTGGCTGTATCCAAATAACGATAAGAAAGACTATTCAATAAAAATGTCATGATATGTAAAATAATTTGAAGTAGAAATGTATAACCAATTAAAGTAAATCCGGTATTGAGAAATTCCGAATCCCTATGATGAGATAATTTAGAAGATGATTTATTAGTAATATCATTTATATCCATATTATCATTTGATCTAATTTGATTTGATTTATTTCGGTTAGTGATTAAATAATTTAAAATGTTAAACTTCATTTGTTTTATTGTATTTTGTATAGTACTATTATTAGTTAATGTTTTATTGTTGTTCTTAGCTGGATTCAAGGAAACTTCATCGCTGAAAAAATAAAATTTGTAATTAATGTAACAATTAAAATTTAAATAATGAACAGTAATTTATATTACGATTATTAGTAGTCATAACAACAAGAAAATATAAAACCAAATAGGTAAGTTCAAAAGGTCAGCTCAAAATCGTGTTCTCTTAAATTCCAATCTTTTGAATTCTTCATTTCCTTTTTTTTTCTCTTACCACATTTGTTTCATTGTATTATACTCTTTAAATAACATCTCCGAACCCTAATCTTTCCGATTATTGCTCATACTTTTACTACCTCTACCACTATGGGATTTGAATCGACAACTGCATCTCTGTGCTTATGTGGTATGTCAACTCGAATCGATGTACGTCCGTACGAAGTTCTACGTTGTTATTGACTGACTGAAGTTCAATGAATTGACTTTGAATGCAGAGTATTAGTGCTCAAGACTATTGGGTTATTTTCATGATATTGATTTTTCCGTGAATCAACAGATAACTTTCAACAAATGTCCAACATATGTGAACATGTAGAATATTTTAGGTTAATATGAACGGTTATCTGATAGATGGTTAAGGGAATAAAAATAACTTGGCTCTTAACCATTAAGTTGATTCATCTAATTTAAATTTAATAGCTCGGTATTATCACTAGTTCATATATTCAACACGTGTCTCAAAACCGAGTACATAAAAAGGTACCTGAGAAATGACCTGGAAATTTTTCTATCATTCTCTAAGAACAAAACAAAGCGAACCAATGGAATTGCATCAGTTCACTTAACCAATTACATTACCGAGAGCGTCATTCACCATAATGTCTTATGTAATATATTTAAATGTTTATTTCGTTATCTAGTTACGAGTTAGTCCATAACTGTGCGAATCCTTAACACCTTAATGGTTGCGCTGTACCCTATATTCACAAATAATAAAGGATTAACAGAATAGATTATTTGTCCAAATTTATGATACCATCTTTCAAATTATTATTAATATTTTTGTGGCCAAATTAGAAGATGTACCATTAAAAGGCATCCTAAGTAAGCTAGATTATTACTGTCGATACATAGATGAAATACTAATCGTATGTGCCGAAATTATCGACAACCAAGAGATGTTGGACTGTTTTAATAACGTCCACCCAGGTGAATAAAGGTTAAGCATTCTCTACCAGACGGAAGGCTCTGGGTTAGATTCACAGTAAAATCGTGGATGAGTACTCTTCAGGAGTTCTATACTACAACCAAACAGCTATCCAGCATTTCCTCGCTTTCAACAGTAGTTCAACAAAGACCAGCCCGTGATGTAAACTGTGAAAGTTGTAATTTGTCACATACATCTTAAAATGTAATATATTTTTACTTCAGATATGCCTTTAATTATTTAACTATATGTATATAGATATATATAGACAGATAGTTAATGGGACTATGAGAAATTCATTCTGATACTGAACTTTCAATTGTTAAGTTATGTATTCAATATGATTAGCCAATTGCCAAAATTTGATAACCCATTGATGTCACGACTCCTAATCACAAAATCTACGAACTGTAACAGTTTGGTACACAAGAATTTGTACGGTAGCAGAAGGCTCGAACTTATTGAATAATAATATCAACAGGGCAACTCAATCCTTAACCCAACTATTTATGACTTGTAGTGACCTTCGATAACATTACAAATAATGATTTATTGGAAGAAATCATAACAAAACAAAAAAAGTTTAAACAGAAACTACTTGTACATATATATATAAACAAAATTAAAACTCACAGATCATAAGGAGTTACACTATCTGTTTGAGAGGACATTCCAACAGTAACAATAACAAGTCTGGAATATAAAATGAGTTTAAATGTTAAAAAAAACAACTACATATATAAAAGAAACAATGGCAAAATTAAGTTCTATATGAATGAAAGGAAAATTTTATACATATAATTCCCTATATCATTTTGAAAGGACAATTTTTTTTCTCAACAGAATATTGATAGTAATTGAAATAAAAGAAATAAGAATAAATTCACATGAACATGAACATAAGAATCCTATATTAATTTAATATTTATAAGTAGTATATATTTTGAAAATGATTGTTTATTTGGATTTTGATAACGATGATGTTGTTGTTGTTGCTGTACAAATATGTGATATACTTGAAATAGGTAAACGTCCTTCTACTTCTTCTTGATACTTGAGAATAGTTTCTAAAATATGAATATATTTTATACTGAGGCGTAGAATTTCATGTTTGCTTAATTTTTTATCTGGTGGATGTGTAGGTAGGATATATCTGAGCTCGGCAAATGCTTGATTAACACTACGCTGACGTTGACGTTCACGACTATCCACTAATGAGAAATCATGCCTATCAGAGAATGAATCCATTCGTAATTTTTAAGAATGAGTAGATGGATGTGTTGGGGTATATATATATATATATATATATATATATATCATAATGTAAAAAGGAGGCGAACATTTCATTCCATTCTCCAATAACAAACAGCGAAAATATTACAAAGGTTTAAGGTGAACAATATCAGATGTGAATGACTCGATATTATAATTAACAATTAACCAATAGAAACATGGATTAGCAACAAAAAAAACGGTGAAGAAATAGGAAAGTGAATATTAGGGATTGAAAAGAAAGTCTATGATCACTTTTGATAAACAAGAATTGAAAAGAGAATGTGATGTGAGTATGTGTGTGTGTGTGCGAGAAAAAGACACTGAAACAAGAAATACAACAATTGATGATGACTACGATTATTATTATTATTCGCATAGGAATAATTAATTTTATCTTCAATTTTTATCTGATTAACTGTATTTCAGTGATAAATAACTAAGAAAATTATTCAAGAGGAAAGAATGATTTAACGACTAATACTGATAACTTCTATCAAGTTTTATCAGTTTATATAATTTAAGAAATTTAGAAGATAAGACTATCAAGCACACGAGATATTCCCAGTATAAGTATATTAATCACATCTCACACATACAAGTGAATTGATAACTTAGTGGTTAAGGCATTCAACCTCTGACCAATATGTCGTGAACCTGATCCTCTATCCATCTACTTCAGTTTAGGCAACTGAATAGTATCATGTTTTTACACTTCGAGGATAGTTTATACCCAAGTATCTGGTGAAAAGATTAATCATATAAATAATGAATACGACCTTTTGAGCGTGTTTTTATGAGACATTTATTAAAAATGACAGGGAATCTAGTCATAAAAATGCAAACATATTACCAGGACAATAAAAAGCAAAGTCGAATAAGCGACTAATTAAAGAACATTTAGGTATCATAAATTTTGGATCTCACCACTTCAGCTTACATAAAAAGATAAAACATTCACAATTTAATAGGACTATGATACACATATGAGACTGAAAGTGAATTCGGACGACGATTTTTGAATAGAATGATATCGTGCAGTTTAAATTTTAACTGTAAGCTATTAGCACTGTTGTCTAACCAAAGGTACATTGTAAAGCACATAAGTAATATCAGTAGACATCAATAGCAACAGTTCCACTAAAGATACTTGAATAACGCAAAGAAATAAATGAAATGTCTTTAGGTTGAAGACTCAATTCCGTTCTAATGTAAGCAAACAATAGACGCTTAAAAGAAGAATATTTCTAATATTCATTAAAATAAGCAAGTATCTGAGATAAAACCTGTCTCTCATGAAATAAAGATTTCTAAAACAGAATGATTTATTCAAATAGAGAAAATGATTCAATCTTTAAAGGAACGTGAAACTGGACTGGGAACTTGATTATGCAATACTGCGACAAATTTCTATTTAACATGCATTCACAAACTGTAAGTATTTATTGATATATTTTATAAATGCTATTAACAATCAGTAGTTCCCATTTATTCTCGGTCACAAAACGTTTTTATTAGTTCAACTGCTACAACTATTTTACAACAGCCATGCATGAATTATGACATTCATCCCTCGTTTATATCGAAGAACAGATAAATAGGAAAATATACCAACAAATGTGACATTCCCTTTTAAACTTTTCGATGTATAACAACCCAATAAACTGTAAGCATTATATTACAGTATTTGAGCGCATATAGCTAGTATTCATAATCATTCAATCTAAACTGATTGAAAACAGTAACGTTAATTACTATATTTATAGTTAGGAGAAAGGTGGCCCAAACGTCTAGATAAGTCACCTTGGAATCTAAATTCATTAAACTAGATAACTGACGTAACCAATTTTTGAACAATTGTCTAGTACACTTATAATGAAAATTGCTGACACTGATCAGCAAAGTAATAGAGACTAGGAAGTACGGAATAGCTGTTTCGTTTTAGCTAGAGAGCATTCACAAATGTATTATTACTAGTAGATACGAAGTTTAACTCGATTGCTAGTAAACTACTGTTTAGTCAGCAGGTTTAGATCTAACGGTCAAATTTCAAACAATCGATTTGAAATAATGCGCAATCCTTATCGATTTGAGTGACATCTGTGGCCTCTTATTTTTAATGGTTTACCAGCTAATACCAAGCTGGGATCAGAACTACCTTTAAGCAGGTATCTGCATCACAAGTGATTCATGAGGAATATACACAACCCTACATTATACGTGGCCTGTTTTCTTATTTATAAGCATATGAAATCATAGAAACATTCGACAAGCAAAATACGATTTTTCGAATGTATCTGAACACATGCGACGGCCGTGTAGGATACTCACTTGTCAACAAATATTTCCGACATTTTCTTATTATTTTGCTAGGAAAAAATAATTCGTTTATTCCTGGTAAGTTTTGTTACACCAAAAAACCAATATTTAGACGTGGTTTTGTTGGTAATATAGAATTTATTAGGATTAAACCATTTGTTACTGTGATATTTTGTTGAGAGGTTATCAGTTTACTACTCAACATCAAATAAGTCAGTCGTACGCAACACAGAACTTGACACATATGTGAATCATTTCAAGTTCCCACACCACACAAGCACAGAAGTGTCACAGTAATATATGCAGTAACAATATTAGTGATGGTAGAAAAGATTATGTACATGAGATAAGATGATAGAACAAAATACGGATTCATGGAATAAATGAATTCTTTGTGATGATTAAGGAACTTAGGATCTAAAGGGGAAAAAAGAGTGGATGTGCTTACGTTACTCCAAATGATTCCGAGCCATCATCCTAAGTCTTTAGACATTGGTTATGATGATCGCGCGGACCTACCTACATATATGTATGAAATATACACTACAAATCAAGTTTTGAAACTTATATGCATGATAGATTAATTGCTTAGTAGGAAAAATACCTAGTCCGGAACGACAGCGAGATCCTCAACAAAGAATTCTATACTAGAAAACATAACACTCATAAATAATTATAAACCAATGGAAGTGTTAAGGAACTAGCACCGAAAATATAGCACTATTCAACTGCTAGGAAATATTTTATCCCGACCAATCTCGTGGTTATAAAACTAAATTGCTTATGATAATCAGGTGAAAGACTTAATTTACTAATTATTTACAAATAGCCTTTAGTAATTAAGTCTAAAAGCTCGTGACCTTTAACTTGATATATTGCTCAGAAATATAGGGAAATCCTACTCATTGCCTTCTCGTGGCGCGGGTGTTGTTTACGAAAATGGGAGGACGAAAAGCGAATGTCCGGCGCTTTAACCGGACTTCAAACTAATGGTGCACATGGGCTCCAGTATCCTGCGGGAAAAACGGCGTATGAACCAATTTTTGGTCACCGGCTTCCATGGGACTGCATCTCCTTACGATGCTCCACTACCTTGTGGATCAAACCTTCAGATCGAAGGCTCGGGTAGTGGCCCTCTAAGAAAACCGCCTGCTTTAATTTGGGCGTCCGGGCAGTATCCCAGCCCTCACGCATATCGAATGAGATTTGTGTGGCGCATTTGTATTTGGTGCCTCCTTGTACCAATATCTATGTGTTAAAATAATAATAAAAAGCATTCGTACACCCTAGTTGGTAATAACAGGCTTTTAAAGCATCAATTCATCTCGAAGAACGAATGCTTAATAAATGGTGTGCTTTATTAATTGTGAATGATAGACCCAGACAAAGTCTACTGAGGTTTCGAAAGCCAGATGATCTAATCCATATTACAACCAGACATAAGAAGCTATCACAACGTATTGACCCTAATGTAGTTCTCCTATACTATCCCTGGAAGTCAAATAAGCTTCCTTAACTGAAATCTTTCTTACCTGTATTTTTAACTTAAAAGTAACTTTTAAGAGACATCGATCTTGTTTATGTATTGTATGACACATTTTTTCGTTCCCTTATATCTCGACTTCATTTGTGTAGGCAACGTTTTAGCATATTATTGTGCCAGAACTTATGTTTTGAATAGACAGATAAATGAAAAGGTACTTAATCCAGTCATTCGAAGAATAAATAACACGAAGCCTGGTGACTTAAAAGGTTTTGATGAATTACACATACCTGTCTTAGACTCTATCCCAAACAGATTAATAAGACGGTTTAAATCATTTGTATACCTTGAGCGCAGACAAACAGCTTAACCTGTTAGCTTAATTGCCATAGTTGTCATCCTAGTCACTATGAATAGCGCAATCTACAGATAACAGAGTAACACAGCTTTCCTACAGCTGCAGGTTTACTTTTGCATAACCTCTGCTTTTTCCTGATCTTCGTCTATCATTTCAGATTCACTTCCTACTTTAATAAGTTGGGAATCCAATGATGCATCCTTGTTCTGTAGTTTATGTACGAGAATATCCTCTTGGGCTGCTTGAGTGCAGATTGTGCCAGCTGCATTTCATATTTTCTTTGAGCTTCCCGAATTTTAGTTATACATTCGTTTCTTATCGATCTGTAGCGTTCCATCGTACCTGCTGTGGCAAGGCGGATGGCAACATACCAGCATTTCTTCTTTTGTCTTAGTAAGCGTCGAATATCCCGCCCTATCCAGGGATGTCCGTGCTTCTTTTTCATTGGGACAGTCCAGGGTATGTATGGTTGAGTTACCGGATTGTATAACTGCCTGAATAGAGTCCATGCCTCTTGTACTGATGCCTTTGAGTCAATTTCCCAGTTCTCAGCCGATGCTGCGGAGTTAATTGCCTGCATATATGCCTTCCATATGTTGGGACGGGCCGGCGCAACTGTTTGACAAGCAATCTCAGCCATGAATTTGAATAAGATGACTGCATGGTCACTTCTCCCAAGCGGTGGGAGAAAAGCCATTTGACCAACGTCATCACCGTGTGTGGAGACTAAATCTAAAAGAGAAGAAGAGTTTCTTAAGTCGTATCTTGTGGGATCTCTAATGTGTTGGAATAATGCTAGTCCAATCGAGGTTTCTAACAGTTTGCAGTCAAACGACGATATCAATGATCCTACTTCTAAGTTAACCCAGTTTATATATGGTGCATTAAAGTCGCCTACTACAAGGTTTTTACCGTTGTTACACCAGGACTTAAGTTTACTTAGGAGAAAATCATCTGCTACACATTCTGGACTGCGATATACTACAACTACTTCAATATCTTGCCTTGGGCATTTCAACTTACATCTCACCAGTTCACATGTCCCTGAAACATGTGCTACTGCCTCAGCTAATCTTATGGTTAGGGTACTTTTCGTGTACACAATAACCCCGCCTCCCCTTCGGTTTAATCTATCAGCCCTACTGGTTAAAAACCCAGTCAACTGGATTTCACTATCTAATACTTCTGACGTTAACCAAGTTTCCGAGACAGCAATAACGTCCGGTTTTTATTTATCCACCACTGACTTGAGCTCCGCCATTTTATTTAGTAGGCTGCGAGCACACTTTCAAGTCTGTGGAGAGCTTTCCCTTGCCACCCAGAGTGGCTTGGGGATCGTTTTGCTCTGAACTTTTACAATTTGAAAACCCTTAAGAACGAGGCTTCTTTCACCGTTTCGGCGACGCTCGTTTATTTCCGCTTCTGCAGCTCGTCTCTTAATACGATCAGCTAGGCTGAGATCCTCACGGACATATATTCCGGATCCAATCACTTTACGTGAATTACTTAGAATCAGGTTCCTTTCTTCCACCGTGTTGAATTTAACCTTCAGGAGGCGGTTTTTCTGAGGACATTCGGAATCCACCTTTTTTCCTATTCTATAAAGCTTACAAATACTAACTCCTGAAACTGTATCTGGGAGTAGTTTACTTAATTATGTCTTAATATAATTGAGATCATGTTCAAATCTTGCCTTTGGTTCTGTATCTGAAGATTCTGTTATCTTATGAAAAATGACTGATCTATTAGGGAGATCTGTCTTGTCACGCAGTGAGGATTTTTCTTTTGATAACATCCTTTCCAATGCCTTGCTGACCAGCTGCGTTTTGCCTACAGCCTTTTTCTTATTTTTTTTCTTCTTACCGAAGTCCATTTGTCACCACTCAGAACAGCCACACCTGGACTATGTGGAACGGTGACAGTTTTATCCGGATCTTTTATTTCAACTAGAGGTGTATGACTGCCGATGTCAATATCAAGCGACACTTCATTCCTCGTTAATGTAAACGGAGATTTCACGTTCCCGTCAACCGCAGTCAGGTGTTTAACGGGTCCAGTAGCAGCACTTACTACACTGATACATTCTTCATCGTCAGTGCTCCTGTCATCAGTGCTTCCACCATCGTTTTTCTTGCAGGCCAAAGCCTCCTGTATTAGTACCTTTTTATCCGTACAGTAGAACATACAAAGCCAATGCGAGTTAGGCTTCGAGCATCTTTAGTAAACCGTCGGACTTAGGCGTGTACACATTTTGTGGTACCACTTTTTACAATCGTCACACTGCATTCCCTCCTCAACGGAGAACAAACAATTTGGTTGCCCACATTTGTGAGTCTTACCAACCATTGTAATTCGATTTAAAAGGTTCAAAAACAAAAAAATGGTCACAATGTGAACACAAGTGTTAGTCAACGACTAAAAAAAGGTACTCAGGACAAAATTTAGCAAAAAATTTCAAACTTTAACCAAAGTACTTTTAGTTAAAGAAGACCAAGAATGCTTTTTAGTGCAATAAGTACCCAAAGCATGTATAATCACAACAAGTACAAAAATCACTGCCCTTTTTGAAATCATATGATTGACTTAAAGCCACGCAATTTGGCGTAACGGCCCGTAATACTACTTCGTCGAGGTACATCAACCAAGGTCCAAACCTACACCTGACAGTTCAGAGTAGTGCTTCACTGAATTATACTTCGCGAAAAATACATTGCATGAAGTCACTCAGATTTATTTAAATAGTCCATACTATAATGACTACAATGATTAACAAACACATAAACTACATAAAGACATTGAAAATAGGTCTCATCTAAAGAACGACTGTCAGTGCAAAAGACGGAAGCAATAAAAAGGATGAAGTGATTTTGATGTTGATAGGAGAGTGAAATAATAAGTTACAAGTCTCAAAACAGTCAACAGGTTGAAAGCAAACAACTTTGGAGAAATTTAAGCAGAAACCAAAACCTGCCTTTCTTCTTGGGACGGCCTACTTTAAAAGGACGTTCGTTTTTCCTATATGAAGTAAACAGTTTGCGATTAATGTTGAAGAAAGGACGCAAATTTTCAGATATCTACCCCTAAGGAGTCAATTTTGGACATTACTAACCCTTTAAAGTAGGCGAAAAAGAACGAATTCTAATTTTTTCATTAATTCACACCGAACATCGGCATAGAGTCCTGCCTTTCCGCAAAGTACACTTTTATTTACAACTAACTAGAGTTCTTTACTAAAAAGTAGTCGATAACAATAATTCGAAAGGCAACTACAAAGCAATGAAACTATGAGCACTTACAGACGGATACCTTTTCAATGATATAAGTATCTGACAATAATTTAATACGACAAAATATTTCGAAACGCATCCAACCGAACCGAACGCCCATAGAAACTATAACCTCCGGATTACAAAACTATTAACCAATATACACAAATATTAAAATGATGGATATTATCAGATGACTTTAATAAATAAATAACTGAAATAATGGATTGTTTTGTGTTTGTTTGTTTAAACGCTCGACTTAGCGGTGTCTACGGATTTTCGCAAAGAACTGACAGGATAATGTCGAAGACCTATTTAAAGACAGTCTATTTGATGCCCCATCTAGGATTACGTTTATTGTCTTCAGATGCATAAAAATATTAAAATTTCATCTATCCAATCACACGCTTTGCATCCTATGATACATGTAAAGTAAATTGTGATGCGGAAATAACTTTCGTGAATTATATCATATCTATCTCCCATTCAGTTTTTCAAAAAAAAGTGAGTGCGTGTTAGCCTTTGGTTTTTGCTTCCATAATTCAATGTACACTCACACGTTATAATTAGTGATTCGATGTTATTTGGACTATTACTTATGTTTGTTTACTTCTACATCACTAAATAATAGATATAATAGTTAATTCTACCTGTGTTTCTGCGAAAGCCCCGTCCTTTTGCTGCTTACTGGTGACACATACCACTTGCCCAGCTGTTGACACTTTAATAACTCCCATACTGATTTTTCTCATGGTTTTTGAGCCCATGTGTGATAACCTCGGAGTTGATGTGTCATAGATAAATCTGAATGATAAGACTTGTCAGTACCCAAGTGATTACCTGTGATACAAGATGCCAGCATCAAATGAATGGAAAAACTGACACTAATCGCTTCATGTAGAGCTTGGGTTCGCCTTTCACAGTCATATTGGACACCCTTTAAACAGGACTCTGACATGTACGTCCGGAGTATCTTGCGTAGATAGTTGTTTACAAATACCTGTACGTTTTGGTCATGGTAGCGGTAGTTTAATGGCCTTCAGATATGTATAATAAGACTAAACGATAGTGCTAAAAATTCTGACTTGGTCATGAGTGACAGATATTCTTCAATTGTAGGACCGTTTCGCTTGTTTTCGCGATTCATGACTTGGTATTTGCATCAGGTCCTCCTTGTCTGTCTCTGTTGCCAAGGCACGTAATGGTTTCCACTTTTAGTCTTCAGTCGTTATACCATCAAATGTGATTTGATCAGTGATCATAATTGTATTTCACGATTTTTTTAAGGCCTATTTCTGCGGAAAATGCCGCCATATGGCTTTTACTAGGATATTGATGCCTTCCTAATCCAGTCGACAGCTTTAAAAACGAGAGCTCCCACCTATAGATAAAAAACAGCTATTTTCATCTACGTTGTCTAATGGTTTCTCATTCAGGAATATGATATATAGTGACGAGTTCCATGCAATCGATTGTTGAACGATGATCCATAGTGTCACGATTTGGTCTGGGCGAAACCGGTCCTTACGGAATCCGGCCTGATCTCGAAGCTGGACGTCTGCTGAATCATTCATCCGGTTCAGCAACACTGTTGAAAACTTCCCCTGGTACCGTTACTAGTATGATTTCTCTGTAGTTCTCACATTTGCTCAGATCTCTCGGTATATTGGTGAGATATCCTTCTTCCTAGTCTGTTGGCACTTATTCTTTCTCCCATGCATCGGTCCAAGTTGCCATACCTCATTAGCACAGCAAGATGAACATCAAATTCGTAGAAGCAGTTACTCCAATGGTAGAAATATGTAAGAGAAAGATTGTATATTAGTTCGTAGAAATAAAGGTGGACAAACCATCTCAGTCAGTGAAAATTCACAACCTCATCAACTGATTTACCATCATTCCTTAATACCCTGCGTCGAACCTCACTATTACTTACCCGGTGGTCCCAGCAGACGCCAGCAATATTTCTAAGGCATCTGTGGTCAAACACTAGTAGCTCACAAGTATCTTCTACTCCTAATGGCCACGTTTCGCGGCCGTAAATTAGAACAGAACGAACTGCCGCGCAGTATACTCGTCCCTTAGGCAAAAGCCAAACAAGCTTTCCGAATCCGTGTAGAGATTTCGTCAGACGCTAACTCATTTGGGCTGATTGCACTTCCAAAATGAGTAAAGTTGTCGATGCATTCGACTACTTCACTCATTATCCTTAATTCAGGTGTTGACGCAGACCAGTCCTGAAGCAACAACGTGCATTTAGATAGAGAGAAACGCATTCCAAGCATTCTGGCATTGTTGCTCAGTGCCACCAGAAGACTGCATTTAATCAGCGTCTTCACCAAACAGGACTTCGTCCTCCGCGTATCCTGAGTCGATAATTGGACCCCCTGGAAGATCAATTCCTGGAAATTCAGACTACGAAAGCGTTATTTCCATCAGCAGCTCTATGATGAAGTCAAACAAAAATTGCGAAAGTGGACAGCCTTGACGGACACCACTTGAGGTTGCAAAAGCAGATGACAGTTCTCCATAAGCTTTGACTCGACTAGTAGTGTTCGAGTGGAGAGCCTTCACAAGCTTTATGTACTTCTGAGGTACGCCTTTCAATGACAGACACTGCCACAGAATCTCGCGGTCTACCGAGTCAAATGCTGCTTTTATATCAAGAAAGACCACCATTGTCGGACGCCAATAAGTATGCCTATGTTCTAGATCCTGACGAATGATGTGTGGTCGATTTAGCCACGACCAGGTCTGAAGCTGGCAGTCCTCCAATCTTTGTTAAGCGTCCAGTAATTATTGAGGCTACTATCTTAGATGCTATGTTAGTCAAACTAATCCCTCTCTGGTTATCACAAGATAAATTTGACCCTTTCTTATTTGATTGTTACCAGTCAGATAGGATTACGTCCAACTCCCAGATCTTAGCTAAAATCTTAGTCAACCTAATCACTAGAATTGGACCACCATGCTTGAAGACCTCTGGAGCCAATCCATCTAGACCAGCTGCCCTTCCTCGTTTCAGATTAACTATAGTCTTTTGAACTTCAGCTAGAGTCCAGCTGAAATGTTCTCTAAAATGTTCCACCTATCGTTCTAAACGTCTGGACTGGGAGCAGATGAGTGTCGTCTTTTTCCGAAATAGTCTGACTTACACTTGACCTAATAATTCCAGTTTCTTTTATCAGTCTGTAGAGCTGTCTTGTGTTCCCTATAGCCGCCGCCTTTTCCATCTCTTTCGCTTTCGTTGCCCACCACTGCTCACGGTTGTTTCTTAGACTTTTGCTTAACCTAGATCTGATTTGTTTACGCTCTTCATCGTGTTCAGAACCTGATGGGATGAGTTTGTGAGAATCTATCAGTGCAATAGACCTTGAAGAAATCCATTGGTTCATTGTAACTCTGTGGTTTAAATCACTAATAGATGTCACTGCTGTTTCCACAGCTGTTTGTATGTCTTTCCAAACAACATCTGGGTCAGCCTCGTTTTCAGAACTACCTAAGTGTGACCTCAGTTGTTCCTGGAACCTACTTTTAGTTTTCTCGCTACTCAATTCAGTTCTAATGGGTCTTTTTACTGAGGCTTTTTTGTGTCCAATGAGGCGCAGGCAGATGCGTGCCCGTATTAGGGCGTGGTCGGGGTCCAACGAGGTACTCCAGAATGAGCGACAATCTTCTACCGACCCTCTCCAACGATGACTGATGGCAATATGGTCTATTTGAGTCCATTGTTGGTTTGGTGTAGGGGGTCGCCATGTTAGACGATATCAATCCTTATGCCTAAAATTTGTGTTTGCTAAAAATAAACGATTGTTTGTGTACAGTTGCAGTAGACGATTACCATTATCTGTTCGTCGTGCCGAAATACTAAAATACCTACCTAAATGTCTGTTTGGTTTAAACTGCTTATCTGAGCATTAAAGTCACCTACTACGAGTACTATGTCTGAACGTTTAGGTTTCTGAAGAAGTTCAGAGAGCTTTCTGTAAAATTTATCTTTCACTTCATCCGAACTGCAGTCAGTAGGAGCGTAGGCAGAAACGACAAAAAGGCAACGACGTGAGTCTCTATCCTTCCAAATTCTTACAGAGCCGTTCAACCGAACAACACATAAACGACTGTTAACGGGGATCCACTCTAACAGTGCTTGTTCCGCCCTCATTATTAGTGCTATGCCTACACATGCCAGTCCATGAGAACTGGCCATCGGGTCACCAGATACACGGAGGGTGCATCTCGTTGGCTCTCCGTTTTGGCGAGATGGGGTCAAGTGAATGCTAAACTAGGATCCTGAATGTTTCGGAGACACAGCATACATCAATGGCACAAGACTCTAGGGTTTTAGCCAAGGAAGCCTGCTGACCGATTTGACCTAGGGTGCGTAGCTCTAACAGCACTCAAGACCACTATATTCATAATCAACCTCCCTCTTCAATTCTTATTATTCCTCCTACATCGACTTTCAACTCTAAACTTCCTCCACTGCTCACGGTTGTTTCTTAGACTTTTGCTTAACCTAGATCTGATTTGTTTACGCTCTTCATCGTGTTCAGAACCTGATGGGATGAGTTTGTGAGAATCTATCAGTGCAATAGACCTTGAAGAAATCCATTGGTTCTTTGTAACTCTGTGGTTTAAATCACTAATAGATGTCACTGCTGTTTCCACAGCTGTTTGTATGTCTTTCCAAACAACATCTGGGTCAGCCTCATTTTCAGAACTACCTAAGTGTGACCTCAGTTGTTCCTGGTACCTGCTTTCGGTTTTCTCGTGTACGTTACGTACGTTGAAAGCTCCAATGTGTAATTTGTAGCGAGGTTTCAGTAGACCTAGGACAATGTTTCGCGCTTTAGAATCGTTGGCTATGGTGACACTTGAGGAAGCCGAAAGAGGAAGTTTAGAGTTGAAAGTCGATGTAGGAGGAATAATAAGAATTGAAGAGGGAGGTTGATTATGAATATAGTGGTCTTGAGTGCTGTTAGAGCTACGCACCCTAGGTCAAATCGGTCAGCAGGCTTCCTTGGCTAAAACCCTAGAGTCTTGTGCCATTGATGTATGCTGTGTCTCCGAAACATTCAGGATCCTAGTTTAGCATTCACTTGACCCCATCTCGCCAAAACGGAGAGCCAACGAGATG